AATTTTAAATTAATCAAAGGTTTCTGGGTGCGATCATCGAGATTTTCAATAAAAACTTCTCATACATTTATCATATCTCATAAGGAATAGCGCATTTGTAACGTTTCCCATTCGCACATTTTTATTTAAAATTCAATGAAATTAACAGATCTTGTATAAAGTAAGTTATTTCCTATATTTTTATGTACTTATGTATGTATGTACGCGCGTAATGAAATTCTGAAACTAAAATCATACATTTTTTATATACAAATATGTAAATTCGATAAAAGTAATTACATGTGTATGTATGTAAATAAAAATTAAGAAATTTTTTCTCTTATGTGAAAACGGGTCTGAGAAACCTACAAACATATATACCGTAGTACATATACACTATATTATACTGGTATCAAAGAGCAAAGATGCCGTAAATGGCGCACACCAAATCAAAAGTGAAAAAGTACATCAAAATTACCAAAAAAGAAAGTCGTCTAGCAAACCGGTAGTATATGAAGATACTAAAACATACACCCAATGGCTGCAAGCTTTGAATCTACTGTGTATATATGTATGTGTGTATGTATAGTACATATGTGTATATCTGCCTAAGTGTAATGAAACAGTGTGCGGACAGAGGCGGATGCTTGAAGCTGGTGAATGTACAAATAAATGAGCTGGTTCTAGATTATACTTTGAGCTTAGGCAATATTCCGAAGCCTAAAAATATGTACGATCAAAGCTATAAGCAAAGTACATATCGTTCCCTGAGTGGAAGTTGAATAACGCTCTATCTCAGAAAACTTGTCAAGAACGCCCTACTTCAGAATTTGATTGAAGAATGCCACATTTCAGAATTTTATTGAAAAACGCCCTATCTCAGAGTTCGGTTCAAAAGCGCCCTATCTCAGCTGAAAATATGTAATTTGGAAAAGTGCTGAGGTAGGGCATTTTTCAATCAAATTCTGAAGTAGGCCGTTCTTGAAAAGTTTTCTGGGATAGGGCGTTTTTGAACTGGCTGCCGAGATAAGTCGATCTTCCACTCAGGTGACGATATGCACCAATTTATAAATTTTTTCTTATGGTTATCATGGTACACATTTTTAGGCTTATTTTTTTATGTACATACATGTATACAATAATAGGAGTGCGATATTTTGATCACTTTTGGCAATTTGACTTGTGTTTGTTTAAGGTTTATTATTTTTTTTATAAAAGTCTAGCTGATTACACATCAACCACCATAAAAATTTACAACTTTGTGCAAAAATTATAAATTTCAAACTTTTGGTATGCAGTTTTGCAGCCCATTTAATTCTAGTCTAATGAAGTGCAAGTTTCAAGCTGCTAAAAAATCTCGTTGATTTTGGGCAATTCTTTTCTTTTTGCTGGCAGTGTCCTCCATATAAAAGAAGATTGTCGAACATACCGAGCCCTAACCGCCAAAATAACGTAAACGACATTTTTTTTTTAATTTTAATTTTGATGCAGAAATGCATCTAGATGCTCTAGGAATATTTCTGCATCA